ACTGTTTCCCTTCCTCACTTAAAAAGAAAACTCTCGGGTCGTCACTGATTCTATATCCAACCTTATACCACAGTACCGGTATCCTATTGCAAATGGATTGAATTGTGAACATATTAGAGCATACGCCATCTCCCTGACCCATCGGCACCTCAGCCCTGATCTCCATACGAAGTAAACTCTATATTCAAATCTTATTACACATCATTTTACTCCGCATAAACTCTCGGCACTCATGGCAGATATGGCACATTTTTACAGCACAAGGGTGTTCGCATTGCAATAGCCAATATTAAACGTCAAGGGTAAAAGACTTTACATATTCTCAAGTTATTTCTTTCGAAACGCTTTTTTAGACAAGAGCCATTTTTGAAGGGACCAGAGTAGATAGTGTTAATAGGAAAGTGGTGGATGAATAAAGTTTACCTTAAAGAATGTCTTGGTAGTTTCGACGGTTTTCGGATGCTCAGGATCGTCGGCCGCAGCTATGCTTTCCTTGTGCTCGAGCCCAGATGATGCCACCGCCCGAACCCTAGAACATAGCTAGGTATTTCGTAGCCATTTTTCATTTTCATAGACGCGCGCACCGAAAATCATCGATGATGATATCGCGATCTTTCAAAATGAATCCAAACTCCCGTTTGTAGGTGATGTTGAAGGCTTCCACAAAGTTCGTCAGCGAGTTCACACTCTGTCAAAGATTAGGCAATGTTACTCGTCTTTTTTCAAGTTCGAAAAAAATCGGTCCAACCTTTGGATCGTAGTCTGCCGTGATCATGATAGCACAATCAGTCCTAGCAAACCTCATGTGCAAAAAGTAGTCACAATGGACTTCAGCAAAGCCCTGATCCTGAAGTTCGCTTGCTGCTTTTTGAGAAAGGAAAGAGAACCTCTCAGCTATTACTGGCATGGTATCTAAAAAGTTTATGAAATGAGAGTGATGTGGCCTTTCGTTCGAGAACAATTTACCTTTCGAGAACACGATATTGGCTGGCTCTTGTGCTTCATTCACCACCTTGGCTAATGCTATTCCATAAGCTGATAGTAAGCTGGAGTATTTGTGTATGAACACATGCCGAATACCTAAAGAAAAAGAATTTCCAGACAAAGCGTAAGTGCATTTCCAACAAAGTCAAAATTATTTTCCAAGTTCAATTGTCTATAAATCTTGGCATGACTGAATAACTGTGATATATTTTATGAGCGGTGCCAAGATGGTATGACCAAGCTTTATTTGGCTAACGTTTCGGC